GTCTCATATGTTTTAAATGCAATCTGTGTGATCGGTGATTCAACTCTGGATTAAGCAATGCATATATACATGATGCTGTTTTGTTCATAATTGTTTATGCAATTTACAAAATTATATTTGATTTATATGAGTTAATTTAGACGTAATGCATGCAGTGGTTAAATTTAAAAAAAAATTTCTATTGCTCTTTGTTTTAAAAAAGGCTATAAAAAATGTCAATAATTATCGATACCGAACGATATGAAACATTATATCGTTGATAAATTTTTTAGCTATATCGCCCAGCCCTACCTCTAGACCCAATCTCCTCACATCTCCTACAAGCTATTTCCCCTGCACTTATGCCTTCTTCACACACATCATCAACACATCTCTTCTCACAGGCATTTTTCCCACCGCATTGAAGCAGACTCCGGTAACCCCACTGCTTAAAAAACCTATATTAGACACCTCACTTGTTGAGAGCTACAGGCCTGTGGTCTCCCCTCTCTTTCATAGTAAAATCACTTGAACGCGTCGTTTTCAACCTCCTCTCACAGAACAATCAGCTGGACAATAACCAATCTGGATTTTAAAAGTGGCCATTCAACTGAAACACTCAATCACTGAAGTGCTAAGTCGTGCAAGAGCTGAGTCCAAATCTTCCGTTCTCATTCTGCTAGATCTATCTGCTTCATTCGACTCGGTTAATCATCAAATCCTTCTGTCCACCCTCTCATTTCTGGACATCACCGGAACTGCACTCCACAGGTTTGAGTCTTACCTCATAGGTAGGTCCTTCAGGGTGGCTTGGGGAGGAGAGGTATCCAAATCACATCAGCTGGTCACTGGGGTTCCTCAGGGATCAGTTCTTGGACCCCTCCTCTTCTCTATATACACTTCATCACTGGGACCCCCCATTTAGGCACATGGTTTCTCCTACCATTGCTATGCTGATGACACGCAGCTCTACCTCTCATTTCAACCAGATTATTCGACGGTACCTGCTTGGATCTCAGACTGCCTGACGGACATCTCAGCATGGATGAAAGAGCATCACCAAAGACTGAGTTTCTCATCTTCCCATCAGTACAGCACCAGCCACAATCCCATTGTGTTCAGCCAGGAATCTTGGGGTGATCCTTGATGATCAGCTGACCTTTAAAGATCACTTTGCAAAAACAGCACGATCATGCAGGTTCGCACTACACAACATCAGAAAAATCAGACCCTTCCTAACAGAGCATGCAGCACAGCTTCTCGTCCAGGCCCTTGTCATTTCTAGGATGGACGATTGCAATGCTCTTCTGGCTGGACTTCCAACATGTGCAATCAAACCTCTGCAAATGATTCAGAATGCAGCAGCACGTCTTGTTTTCAATGAGCCCAAGAGAGCCCATGTCACACCACTTCTCATATCTCTGCATTGGCTTCCAGTCGCAGCTCACATCAAGTTCAAGACATTGGTGCTTGCCTACAGAACAGCCACGGGCTCACACCCTCCTACCTCCGCTCTGTCCTACTCCTCTACATCCCCTCCAGAAGCCTGTGGTCAGTAAACGAGCGGTGGCTCGTGGTCCCATCGCAGAGAGGCACAAATTCCCTCTCAAGGACGTTTTCTTTCACTGTATGCTGTTGGTGGAATGACCTACCTAACTCCATCCGGACAGCCGAATCCCTCACAATCTTCAAGAAACAACTGAAAACTCATCTCTT